AGGAAGGCCCTCAGGGCCAGATTTGACCTGAGGCTTAGTTCACTACACGATAGACAAAGCTTTTCCTTAGTTTACACATTTCCCAGGAGAAATTGATAAGTCAGCCTGTTTCGAGGCCAACCGGGGAGTCAGTTTCAGATAAGCCACAATTGTTGATTTTTATCAGGCAGACTATTTTTCATGTCAGCCTTGAGTCTTTACTGATACGTCCAAGGTCTGAAATGGCAAGAATAGGGTGCATTTTACTGGTCCGTGCTTACGAGCCCCTCCAAGGTCGTTTCATGCTGGCGAGTCCAGAAGCCACAGGTGGCCTGTGATTCTCACAAATCACTTCCATCTCATGGTTTAGCTTGTAAATCAGCTGATTTTGAGTTCTCAAAGCACGAACCAAACCTTCACAAGCAGGCAGCCTGTTGAGGGCCAAATTAGCTGCAGCTGTCTTCTCTGTATGTTGATACACCAGGAACCAGCCAATTCCAAAAAGCAGGAAACCTGTTACCATAAAGCCATTTGTATATGTCTTCGGCGTCCTCCTGAAATTCTCAACAGAACATGAGGGCTCTCCAAGACCCTGTCACTTTCATGAAAGGATTTTGTCAATTGCGTCGAAAATCCAGTTGGTTAGATCCATGACAGTAGTTATCATTTCGGAAGATGTGTAAAATATGATCTCCGATACACAGACAGAGAGCAAAAAAGCAGGAGGAGAACAGGAGAGGGAAGAGAATGCGTCTGCCTCGTACCAGAGTGAGTGAGGAGGAGCGAGGGGTCGTGGCCAAACATCTGTCAATCATTCTGAACCATGAAGGAACAGTAACAGAATGGGCTGTCAGAATTTAGCCCTTTGGAATGACCCTGGGATTTTCCCCAGGCGGTTTGACACCATCCATCCATCCATCCATCCATTATCTTTACCTATTTATTCCATTTTGGGTCACGGGGGTCACCGGTGCCCATGTCCAGCAATCACTGTGCGAGGGGCGGGGTACACCCTGGATAGGTCGCAAGTCCATCACAGGGCCACATAGAGACAAACAACCATTCACTTTCTCATTCACACCTAGGGACAATTTAGAGTTACCAATCAGCCTAACATGCATGTCTTTGGTCTGTGGGAGGAAACCGGAGCACCCGGAGAAAACCCACGCATGCACGGAGAGAACATGCAAACTCCACCCAGAAAGGCCCCTGGACCGGGGTTTGAACCAAGGACCTGCTCGCTGAGAGGCAGCAGCTCTACCAGTTGCGCCACCGTGCTGCCCGGTTTGACACCAGTTTTGCTGTAAATTTAACAAAATGTGACATTACTTCTAAAATGTATTTATTTTTAATTTGTTATTTTTAAGTTGTTTATTTTAACATCTTTATTGTAAATGCCAGAAGGGAGGGCTTAGCCCTCTTAGCCCACTGATACCAGCCGTCACTGCTCCAAAGTGGGAAAAAAACTGTTTGCTGATGCTAAGATGGCCTCTGGAGCCCTATGGTCTCTGGAGTCTCTAAACCACGTTTCGTAAAATAAAATCCAAAGATTTATAATCTGCTGAGTTGTCATGGTGATTCCCATATTTTTTTCTGGGGAGGAAAGGGGGCCAAGGGCAGCTCGTTGCTTCAATCTATAGGCTTACAGAAGCAAAAACTGAGATATAAGCCTCAACAAGTTGTTTCTGTTTTAAAACTATAATTAAAATTAGTATAGAAAAAACATACTGAGACATACTGAGTTAAAAGAAAACAAAAATGCCAATATTTTGATGTTTAAACTGTATAAGATTATGTAAAGACAGTCATAGAATACTATTGTGTAATTTTCTTCTTTTGATCCACTACAAGAAGGTGCTATTTATAAGAATGAGCTGAATACACCTCTGACTGAAGAAGTCTTTCGGATGAAAGACGAAACATTTCTACTTTTTTTGTTTGTTTTGTTTTTTTGAATGTCCAGAGGACCAGACTTAACTTTTTTAGACTGAATATTAATAGTGCTTTAGTTTTTTTGGCTTCTATAATAAACCCAAAACAGTGTAATTATTTGTGTGACAAATGTCAATCAGTTCTATAATATGAAATTAAGGCAATATAAAAAATTTCCTGCAAGTTATGTGTTCAAACAGCAGGAATAAAATACATGTAAATATATTTTTATTATAGTCAGGTGATAATTTTATTCTCCATGGTTGTTGTAGTGAATTAAAAAAACAGGAGATAACAGCAAGTATTGATTCCAGTCACAGTTACATGTTAATGTAGTTTTCATTTCAGATGAAATGAAACACTCCTTCTTTGTCTTTTATTATTTATTCTCTCCATCCATCACATTCACTAATGTCTGAACAGTCGCAATTATTTTGTGGCCATACAAAGCAGTCCAGACACGAGACATATCATGCATGAAATGATAAATCATATTTTGGATATTATATTCTCAACAGATGTTTGTTGTTTGTTTGTTTGTTTTATGGTGGTTATGAAACACTGCTGTAAAATGCTTTGCTCCAGCATGACAATCCAGAAATATTCAGTTTGGTAAATGGAAAACTGGAGTGGAAGTGGAGTGCTGCCAGCTCCAATCCACCAGGGAGTGAACCGTCAGACTGCTCAAAGACGCTGACTCAAACTCAGCTGAATATTCTGCATGAAAAAGGAGCAGGCGTGTAGGCTGCTCAGAGTTTACTTTGAGCTTCCACTCATGCAGAGAAACTACGTGATCACATTCTGAGATAACAATCTCAGTGATAACCGCTTTTCTTACACTTGGATTATTTTAAAACCCTTAAATTATTTTAACAAAGATTAAGACTGACAAGAACCAGGTATTTGGATTCAACAGTTCAGCCAGACAACAAGAGCATTTAAATGATTGTTTTGAAGCTGCTGCAGGTGTCTGGATCCATGTCATGGGAACAGGTCCGCAGAGATAATACAGTTAGTGGGCTGCAGGTTTCAGGAAGTGTGCTTGATAACAGAAAATATCTTCTCAGGCAGCTGAGGTGGGCACCACCTGTCTGGGTTAGATGAGACGGTGTCACCGTAACTGGTGGGTGAGCATCTGCAGAGGGAGGCCTTTAATGCTGTGAATAGTTTCGACAGTGGGGCAATCCTAATTTGTGGTCCAAAAAGCGAAACAGGGGTCAAGCATGGGGAGGCAGAGGTCCAAGAATAAATCCAGAGGGGAATCCTTAATCCAAAATTCAAAGAGCTAAAAGGGTCCTCGTTTCCAGGGTTGGAAGGCCAGAATAAACTAGACGTGGAGCAGGCAGGGCGGTGACTGCAAGAGACCAGACGTGAGGTTGAGACGAGAAACATGAAAGATGGCTGGATATCTACTGACAAGAGTGTTCAATAATCTGGCTTACTTAAGGTAAGCTTACTTACCAGAAAACGTTGAACCAGCAGCATAAAGTAAGAACCTGCATTAGAGACTGAAATCGCTCTATGGAAATGAAGTATGGCCAAGGACGGAGTTAACTCAAGATACTATATTTATACACACACACATATATATATATATATATATACACCTTGTAGTGGTCTCAAGAATGCTCTTGAGTGATACCCACACTGTCGCTGACACACCAACACTGAAAATAATACAGAGTCAGATCTGGTGCACAAGAATGAAGAAAAATGCAAAAAGATAATAATTTGAATTGTTCATATTATGCAAGGATATAAAAAATATTTCACCTGAAGAGATGTTTTGGTAATGTAAGCAAACAGGAAGTAGCTACAGTTAAAGCAAGGCAGAAAATTAAACATTGGCAATACGATGGCTTTAAATCATGTAATTCCCAGTTTTTATGAAAACCAGAAATAATATATTAAGATAAAAAGGAAAAAAAAAGTGAAAGAAAATGTTGCCACAACATCATTTTTTCCTGAATTAGTGGGTCAGGGTATCACAAAAACCAATCAGTACAGCTGAGATACTTTGGCACATTTCTACAACCTACCTAAAGTAGAAATACTCCCAATAATTTTGGTCTATAAGATGTGACTATCACTGATAGAGTTCTGATAAGTGAAAATGCCTCTAACATGTTTCTAAATACACTGCCTGACCCCCCAAAAAAGTTGCCACCAAAAAAAGAAAAGGTCACACACTAATATTTTGTTGGACCGCCTTTAGCTTTGATTATGGCATGTATTTGCTGTGGCATTGTTTCCATAATCTTCTGCAATGTCACAAGATCTATTTCCATCCAGTGTTGCATTCATTTTTCACTAAGATCTTGCAGTGATCACTAGGCATGATGGGTGCATCACTTCACCTGCCTCTCTTCTTACCCTGATGCACCCATCACTCTGGAACAGGGTAAATCTGGACTAATCAGACCACATGACCTTCTTCTATTGCTCCAGAGTCCAATCTTTATGCTCCCTAGCAAACTGAAGCCTTTTTTTCCCAGTTAGCCTCGTGGTTTTCTTAAGGCTACACAGCTGTTCAGTCTCAATCCCTTGATTTCCCGTCACATTGTGCTTGTGGAAATGCTCTTACTTTCACTATTAAACATAGCCCTGAGTGCTACTGTTGTTTTTCTTCCATTTGATTTCACTAAACGTTTAAGTTGCCGATCACGATCATTCAGGATTTTTTCAAGACCACATTTCTTCCTCGAAGACGATGGATCCCCACTATCCTTCCAGTTTTTAATAATGCGTTGGACAGTTCTTAACCTAATTCTTGTAGTTTAAACAATTTCTGCTTGATGCCAATGATTTGACCCTTCTCAAACAGACTGACATCTTTTCCACGCGATGTGTCTTTCGACAAAGTTGTTTAAGAAATGAGAAGCAACTCATTGCACTAGTTGGGGTTAAATAACTTGTTGCCAGCTGAAAGATCATCGTCCATGCAGTAATTATCCAATAGGAGACTCGTACCTGTTTGCTTAGTTAAATCCAGGTGGCGACTTTTTTTGGGGGGGGCCAGGCAGTGTATTTTCAGCCATGTTCACTAATATCAAGTTCATGCTCAATAATCCAGGTATAAATCCAACACTGTTCAGTCAGGTCATCTGGATGGTTTCTTTTTTTTGTTGTTGAGAGATGTTTCGGCCTTCATCTAAAGGACTTCATCGATCTGAGGAGCCACAAACAAACTGTGTCCGACAAGCAGCACACTCTCATAGTGGATCGACCAGTTTTCTGGTGATAAGATGGTTTCTGGGGGCCGCCCTCTCCCCTGTCAACTCCTCCAAGGCAGCCATAGCCAAAGTGGTTCAAAACATCAAGGTTCATGCTCAATAATCTTTATAAAATAATCATATACTACCTTTATGCCTATATATTATGGGTACTTTAGTACAGAAAACATGTTTTTTAGATATTCTTGTTTCTGTACAATAACCAAAAAAGCGAGATTCAGAATTTGGCCTTAAATATTTGAGGAACCATCCTTTTCAAGCCAATTACAGCTATTCTGTCACTCTGATTTTTATACAACCAGACTTAAAAAACAAAAACAAATAAACAAACAAACAGAAAACGTTTCTCTTGCAGATAAAATAGGTTGTAGCTTTACGTACAAGGTGTGCATTAAGTCAGATTTGATCAACGGGTTGGCCGCTCAGTTGATAAACCTTTCAGAACTGATCAGAAGATGCTTTGGGGTTTGTGTTGATCAGCAGGACACTGAGGATCAGTAATATTTGTGGTGTGTATTTGTCCAGGTGTACAAAGAGGACCTACCTCAGCTGCGACAGCAGAGCAGAGAGAAGAAGCAGCAGGTTGGATCTCTGAAGAGACAGAAAGGACCAGATCAAGGCCTCCGACTGCAGTTTGTTCATGGGTAAAGTAGCACTTTGTTCATTTTCACTTGTGAAAGAAGTTGAGTCTTAAGTTCACAGATTTCCTTAAAAAAAGAACAGAACAAACAAACAAGTTTTAGGTTCGGTGCCAGTAGATGCCTCGATGTTTCACAGACCAGTTTTGGATTTCAGAGTAAATAAAAGTTATGCATGACATAAAGTATGGTAACACAGCCAGTATGTTACCTATTGTCTGTCTTTGTGCAGGTACCGGGGTTACGATTGCAGGAACAACCTGTACTACACTCAGAGCGGAGAGGTGGTGTACCATGTGGCAGCGGTGGCTGTGATGTACAACCGGCAGCTGCACACCCAGCGCTTCTACCTCGGACATGATGACGATATCCTAAGCCTCAGCATTCACCCACTGAAGGACTATGCTGCTACAGGACAGGTGACACGAGCACAACTGAACTAAAACCAGGTCTTAGAACCTGTGTTCTCCAGCAATGAGTCTTATCAGGGCTACACGATGCAGCTGTGTTCTTTTGAATTTTAATCACATTTCCTGTATTCACTGCCTGCCATTATTGAATGTTTTCTGCATTTATTCTTCAAGATGTGATCAAATATGGAAAAAGCTTTGTCATACCTGATCAGGTGTGTTGTGCCTGCAGGTGGGGAGGGACCCAGCCATCCATGTGTGGGATATCCAGACTCTGAAGTGTCTGTCGTTGCTCAAAGGCTTTCATCAGAGAGGGGTGTATGCGCTGAGCTTCTCAGGTCTGTTTTCTTTTCCAGACTCCTATAACATCATACACGGTTCACAATATTGATGAAATGGCAATACTGCAATTTTACAAAAACTAAAAAAATTGATGTACAAATTTAAAAAGACACCTTATAATTTCTATTTAACTTTAAACACAAAATATGGACATGTATGTGTTCAGCACCCCCTAGAGGATTAAAGAAGTAGTGACATCAGAATCAGAGGAATCAGCTTCTAGTTTAAGTTCAAGTTTCTTTATTGTCATTCACTTCACATGTGGTACACGAGGTGGAATGAAACTGTGTACTCAAAGTCCCAGTTACACCCAAAAATAGCCAAAATATAAAGTATACAAAGAAACAGTATACAAGGATCTAAGATATACACTAATAATGTAAAATAATACGGTGTATTAAACAGCAGCCCGAACATGAGTCTGTGGTGAGTAGATAGGTATGAGTGAATACAGCAGCATGAGATAATCAGCAGCATGAGATAATCAGCAGCATGAGATCAGCAGCGTTCAGTTGCACCTTCTTATCTTGTTATCAGTCACCGCATCCCATTAGGAGTACTGCGATAGTTTAGCCTAGTGTTGTAGTACTCGAGACCGGTCTTGGTCTTGAGACCGGTCTCAAGATCACTTGTTGATGGTCTCGGTCTTGTCTCGGTCTCGGACATTGAGGACTCTGGATTTTATTTCAAGACCAGTCCAGACCACAACTGTGGAAATATCACTAAACTGCCAGAATGTTTTCCAGTTTATCCAAAAAAGTTCAATCTGGTCCTCTGGACATTCAAAAAAACAAAAAACAAAACAAAGCAAAAAAATCTAGAAACGTTTCGTCTCTCATCCAAGAGACTTCCTCAGTCTGAGGTGCTGTTTTCAGCTCAGTCTCTTAAATAGCACCTTCTCAGAGTGGATCAACCAGTTTGCTGCTGACAACCAAAACCAGGTTTCTGCGGTCTACACTCATCTCCAGGCCAGCGGTCACTCTTTCAAGGATGAAGATGTTCACATCCTGGACAGAGAGGAACGATGGTTTGAGAGAGGAGTAAAGGAGGCCATCTTTGTGAAAAGAAATCGTCCATCGTTAAACAGGGGTGGAGGCCTCCGGGTTCAACTGTCCCCCTCTTACAATGCTGTGATTGCTAGTATCACTCAGCCCTCTGTTAGTAGTAAACAGCCATCAGTGTGCTAATGATCCATTGTTAGGCTGATGGTCCTTCTTGAGCATGTGATCAGCTGGTTTTGGTTGTCAGCAGCAAAACTGGTTGATCCACTCTGTGAAGGTGCTATTTAAGAGACTGAGCTGAAAACAGCACCTCAGACTGAGGAAGTCTCTTGGATGAGAGACAAAACGTTTCTAGATTTTTTTGCTTTGTTTTGTTTTTTGTTTTTTTGAATGTCCAGAGGACCAGATTTAACTTTTTTAGATTTTTCTACCTGGATTATTGAGCATGCATCAGGATATGTTGTCCAGTTTATTTGTTAACATCTTTGTTTTTATTTGATGCAAAAAGTACTGATTCAAATCCAAGTGATAACATGACTCGTTGCTAAATACATGCTTCTGTTACCGCTGTCACGCCCACCCCCTTTCACTCGCACGCGGTTCTGTACCAACAGAACAATACAGACAGGAGAACATACCGTTGCAACCAGGGGTGAAAGTAAGCTGGTACGGTTCGGTACTGTGTACCACTAAAAGATTCTGTGCTGGTACGCAGTACCTGGAAGAGAGGGGAGGGGCTGTCTGCTGTAAAGCCTCATTCAGAACCAGTCACAACTGCACTTTGGGTCAGAATAGATTCACTAACAATAAACAGTCTAAAACACGACTTAATCAGTAAATAAATAACTTTTGTTTCTCATTTCAAATAGTTTCTGAACTGTTCGTGCTCTGCTGGAGCCTCGGTTCTCTACCGCGGTGAAGTTAGTTTTACGTTGGACGTTGGACATTCAAGCTCCGTGGCTTCAGCGGTGTGTTCCTCTCGTTCGATCCGAACTTAGCAGACGGTCTGATTTTGGTCAGCTGTGCTCAGTCTGCCCCTCCTCTGAGACATAATGGTTCGCTTAGGGACCGTCAACATATTACTGAACCAAACACTGTTCAGAAACAAAAATTAATATCTTTTACATCATCTGACCCTCTGACACAAAACTAATGTTAAAATACTCTAACAGACCTGACACACAACACACCAGTTAGTTCTCATTGTAAAGCATTTTCTAATTAGTTATTGAGCAAAAAACATGATTTTTGAACAAATAAATTATGAAAAATTAGAAAATGTTTTAAAATGGGAACTAAATGTGGGTGCCTCATCTGTCAGTTCTAGTAAAGTAGTTTAACACAAGTTTTGTGTCAGTGGGTCACATGACATGAAAATTATTGTGCAAAAACCACTGAATGTCTGATTTCTTTGTTATGTAGCTTTGAAAATTTATAAAAGCTGATACAGTACATTCATTCAAAAGCAAACTTAAAGTTGCAGTACATGTGTTTTTTACATATTTGTTAAAACTGTCACTATGTCATGACAGTACAGTATAAGATAGATAATCTGTGAAAAGATTGAGCTCCAAGACTTGAGGTCTTGGTCTCGACTTGGGCTCAGACCCCAAAAGTTTTGGTCTTGGTCTTGACTTGGTCTCGGGTTAGGTGGTCTTGACTACAACACTAGTTTACCCCATTGACATTTCAAATGTGATGTAAATATGTCACAAATAAAACAAGCTTTACTTACAATGTTCAAATTACTGAAAAATTTCCAAATGCCAAACTTTAATTGTCGGTTGAGACAATAAAATTATATATACATATATCAGTAAGAAAAAATATGTATATACAAGTTGTCTGATACTGCATTCAATTTGTTAGTTTTGTCCCCATGAGTGAATGTTCCTGCTATGAGGGAGGGAGGCCGGTGGAGCAGTGAGGCTACAAGGAGCAGAGGTCACAAAGGTGCAGGACTTTGAGCACTTAGGCTCGACTCTTCAAGAAAACAGGGAGTGTGGTGAAGAGGTGAAGAAGAGAGTCCAGGCAGGATGGAGTGGATGGAGAAAAGTTTCAGGAGTGATTTGTGACAAAAAGGTGTCATCAAAGGTCAAATGAAAAGTTTAGAAGACAATTATGACTCCAGCTGTGTTGTATGGTCTGGAGACAGAGCCATGGACAAAAAGACAGAAATTAAGATGTTGAGGTTCTCTTTAGATGTGACAAGGATGGATAAGATTAGGAACGAGATCATCAGAGGTACAGCACAGGTTGAACAACTGGGAGCTCCAGAAAAATCCAAGGCCAGGATTTGACCCAGCAACCTTCTTGCTGACGGGCGACCGCTCGGTGCCACCGTGCCGCCACATCAGAAGTCCAAACAGATTTCATTTTATTTACTCATGAACTGTTTATTTTTTGACAACAGCATTATTTTACTTCTACAGCAGAAAAACTAGTGACAATATTTGTTGACAATACTAAAGTATGTGTTTTTGTAAAAGTTTAACTTTTTAAAAATAACTAAATGTTATTTTTCACTAATTTTAGTTGACCCAATTCGAAACACTTTCCTTGTAAAGAGTTTTAGGCATTTTAATGTCAGAAACCAGATTCAAAACTCTGTAAAACAAAAAAGCGCAAAAATAAGCACCAAGTCGAAAAAGTAGTAAAACTATAACTTAACATTTCTGATATTTATCGTTCTTTTAATAAAATCGGAACAGTTCCAGAGATGCAGAAAGCAGGTTACTTGTTTTGTTTTCAGTCTGGTTTTTGTGGACAATCATTCATTTTTGACTTAACTGGTTATGTTCAGCATGTTGTCTCCATAATGAGCTAAAACTTTCTAAAAACACCAAAAAACACTGTAAAAATCGAGCTGCTGGTTAAACTCAGGTTTTTTTTTTGGTTTTTTTTTCTTGGCTGCAAAACTCATAACACTCACATCAGCTGCTGGTCTTTGGTTAAAAACTCCAAAGTTTTGGTATTTAATAAAAAAAAATGATCCCCCAGATGATCTCTGTTCATGTGTTTGTCTCGACAGCTGATGGAAAGAGTCTGGTTTCTGTTGGAGTCGATGACGGACACTCGATCGTTGTTTGGGACTGGAAGAGAGGAGAGAAACTTGCTACAGCTCGGTACTGCAAATAATACTATTGTTCAAATGTTTAACTACTACAACTGCTGCTGATTATACATTAATTTATTTCAGACACGTGTTGTTTTTTATTTTTACATGCATTTACTAGTTCTTTTGGTTTCTATCGCCTTGTACCAGATCAAACGGCAGACTTTTCTGACAGCAGCATTATTTAAAGCACAGCTGTACCGGATTTAATCATTTCTGAAGTTTGACTTGAACTTTCTCAGGTTGTTGTTTTTCTGTCAGTGTGCTGAAGTATTTTTATTTAAATAAAGGAAATGGAAATAAAAAGAACTGGGTTGTTACTTGGCTTTAGAAAATTAGAGTTTTCTCACATAAAGGAAAGTTCAAGTCGTGTAAAACAATTTTTTCTGTTTTTTGGGGTCTTTAGAGGTCATAAAGAGAAGATCTTTGTGGTGAAGTGTAACCCCATGTTGATGGACAAACTGGTCACTGTGGGAATCAAACACATCAAGTTCTGGCAGCTTACAGGTAACAATACAAAAAAAAACTTTACATGTGAGAGAGCTTCAGTGGATGGATGGATAGATGGATGGATGGATGGATGGATGGATGGATGGATGGATGGATGGATGGATGGATGGATGGAT